ACCTCTTTTTTCCCCAAATGGAGAGAATTATTCCAGCCATTAAAATAATTCTATGAAACTTCAGTGAATTGGTAGCAAAATCATGCTGCAATTTTAACTACCAAGGTATTTATGAGATCATTTATTTGCTATAATTGGGGTAGATTCTAGAATACTCTAACTTGCAGATTTGACCTTTCAGATCTTTCCATATTCCAAGATTTGTAAGCAGACCTCAGTGGCACCTGTGTAAGTGACTACTGCATTCTGCTTTTCAGCCTCTTTGCTGTGGTTTTATGTTCCATCCCCAAATAGATAAGTTCTTGGGAAAAGGATAGTCAGGCAGGCGGTGGTTCAAAAAGAATTAAAAAAAAAAAAAAGATAGTGTGATTATTTTTCCAATTAAATAGTGACTCATAACACAGAACCTCCAGCTGGTCTGTATTAAATCCAGTTTCTTTCTAGGGTTCAATAAAATATATAGACTTCAGGAGCCATTTTATGAACTATCTTGCCAAAATGGTAAAACATTCAACTATTCTCATAAAATATTGAAACATGTAGTAGCATAAAAGGCTACACTAAAATTAAGTTCTTTAATTTCCCTTTAATGATGATATCGCCTAGAATAAGTGGAAAGTAATACTTCCATTTGCCTGGAAGCTGGAGGATCCCAGATGACATTTAAATCCACAATCATCCCTGCAGTTCAGAGAGGAAGGAGCTGCCTCTGTGCCAGTTTCCTAGCTTGGCCATGTAGTGAAAGCCTGCATGCAGTTTTCCAGATGAATACACATGGATTCCTCACATGGTGATGTTTGTGTTGTTACAATGGCTTTTAGAGCAGTCTGGCTTCCCTCTGAGATCTCTGAATGAAGTTGCTTTACTTATTGTATGGAAGGTAACTCTTGGATAGGAAAACACAGGGCTTGTATTTCTTCAGCAGTGTTAATGATCAAAAGAGTTCATTGTTTTGTTTTAAGGTAAAAAAGGCAGGCGTCTTCTGGCATATCTTTATCTCTCCAATTACCTCTTCTTCTTCCTGAATTTTTTTCAAAAACTAAGTTCAATTTTTGAACTTTTCTCAAAAAAAGAAACTAGATCACCTCTAGGTTCCTGTAGTTACTTTTCTTTGACACAATTCATTGATTGAGGCCATTTTTCAATTGAGTCTTGTTAGGATTGAAGGGTTTTGAGAGGCAGAGGCAAAATCTGCCTTCTGAAGGAGACAAATGATTCCCCTCTCCCCGCTAAATACATGCTGGTAGACAGAAGCCATTTTCTGATATTTTCAGTCACCAGCTGGTATGCGTTGAACAATTTCTCTGTTGGATGGAACATATTTATTTGTAATAGCCTGGAATAACTAGGACATCAGTGCTGTTGAGATTCCTTTTGGCTAATTGGATTGTTGCATTGAGTTTGATGGGTATATAAATACAATGACTACTAGTCATATTTTTAAAGTGGTTTGAGAGAACAGGTGTAGTTATAGCTACTTGATAATTTATAGCCACTTAATAATTTATCTTGATGCATTGTCCCAAAGCTAGTAAATTTTTTTTTTTACATTGAGAAAAATGTATCATGATAAATTATCATTGATGTTTAAACCATTTTGATATGTTAAAAAGAACAGCTATTGTACAAGAAGATATGAAATAGCTTTCCTGGTTGTTTCTATTCTGGGCTTCCCCTCTCTTGACTGTATTAGAAATGGCAATAATCTAAGATCCTATTATATAATATGACCTATTCTTTATGTAAATTATATATTGTGCAAATCCAAATGGGTGTCCTTTAAAACATATAAAGTACTAAATTATCTTTATCCCTCAGTATCAGTATCACAATATTACCTATGATTTATGCAAATTGTATATAGTGAAAATCAAAACAGTGCCCTTTAAAACATGTTATTGTTGTTAAGTGCCATCAAGTCTGGTCCAACTCATAGAGACTCTGTACAGTGTTTCTGATGAGCAACTGGAGGGTTTTAACTGCCGCCCTTGTGCTTCACAGTCTAGTGTTGCTCCTACAGCACTACACCAGTTGTTGTTAAGTCGAGTCGATTCCAACCCATAGCGACCCTGTAAAGGGTTTCCGATGCTATAAATCTTTATGGGAACAGACAACCTCATCGTTCTCCCATGGAACAGCTGGTACTTTCAAACTGCTGACCTTAAGGTTCACAGCCCAATTCGTAACCACTATGCCACCAGACTAGTACTAAATTATCTTTGTTCCTCAATATTAGTATCACAGAACAGATTTGTTTTATTTTATGACTTAAGTGCACAGTGACTTTGTAGGATAAGCACTGGTCTATGAACCACAAGGTCTGTGGTTAGAGCCCCCCAGCCAATAAGCAAAGATGGGGTTGTCTGTTCCTGAAAAGATTTGCAGCCTCAGAAATCCTACACAGGATTGTTCTGAGTCAGAAACTCCTCAATGGTATAGCAACAGCAGTAAGTGCAATGGACTATGTAAACTGATGAGCACATAAATGATCAGTAAAAAGCAGCAAGTCCAGCAGCAAGTCAGAACCAACTCCACAGTGCCCCTGGATAGGATTCCCAAGGCTTTTAAATCTTTTTGAGAGCAGAAAGCCTCATATTACTCTCACAAAGCAGTTGGTAGCCTTGAATTGCAGACCTTGTAGTTCTCAGTCCAGTGTTTCTCATATGGAGCTCCCATGCTCTGGTTGGGAAGATGGTAGCAGCTTTTCAGAGGCTAGAAGTCTAGAACATTGCTTTTTACCAGGAAACCTGGGTTAGCTCTCTGGCAGTCACCACTCATCTGTCAGTGGAGGCTTGCATATTACTAAGATGCTGAACAGTTTTCAACAGAATTTCCAGACTAAGATGGACTAGCAAGAAAGGTCTAGCAATCTACTCCTATAAATCAGTCCATGAAAACACTATGAGTCACAGTGATCTAACCAACAGCTGATCATGGGGATGGCATGGGATCAGACATCATTTCTTATAATTGTTCAGGAAGTCATCATGAGTGGGTGGGCTGTCTCAAAGGGATGGTAACTAACAACTACAATAAAATGGGTCTGCCTCCAAATAACTGAGTGCAGTTTTACATGGGTCAAGACTCTTGCTAAGGTAGGTCAATGGGGAGAGACAGACTCAACACAGGATTAAAAATAACAAGGAGTTTATTATCTCATATAACTAAGTCCTAGTGTGGTGCTGTAGGATAAGCTCTGGCCTGCAAGGTTGGTTTGAACCCCAAAGTCGGTGGTTGAAACCCACCAACCTTGAAAACTCTAATCAGGGTCACTGTTCATCAGAACTGACTCAACGGCACTTACCAACAACAATCAATAAAAAGTCCACTGGCAAGAATAACTTCAAGTATGACTAGATCCAGGTAGTTAAAAGTTATCATTAGAATGCAATCTTTATTGAACGTCTACAATGTTACCTGGCCTAGTGTCTTGGGTTCAAACAATGGACACTTCCCTATGGTCGCTTTAGGTAGTTCATGGTCTAGTAAGTGAATCATAAAGTCATAAAGTATTATAACAGAATTTAACACATGAAATAATAGAGATATTTAGAAAAGACAACCGTAACTTAGAAAAAAAGAATGAAAGTATTTCTGAGAAGAGGTGAACAAAGACTTTAAAGAGAGTGATGATGCTCAGACATAGTTTTGAAGAAAAACAAAGAATTTTCCAGGCAGGGAAAAAGAAAAATGGATAATCCCCTTTGTTATACATTGGGGAGATGTGCACTCAAATCCCAGCTCTGCCACTTCCAAATTGTGTAAATTGTGGCAAGTATTTGTATATTCTCTGGGTCTCAGCTTCCTTGAATGGAACCTAGAAGTAGAAGTATTGAGTATACGACATTTTTGTGAAGATCTAATGAATAGACAGAGTTTAAATGGAACCTGGTGTAAGCCCTTCAGGAATGAGAGCTGCCATTCCATTCTTATAGATGAACCATGTTGTGCCTGGCTGTGATAACATGGAGCTATGGATTAGGGAGTACTGGTGTGATGCTGTAGAATAAGCATTGGACTACTAACCAAAAGGTCAGCAGTTCAAACCCACCAACTGCTCCTCAGAAATCTTATACAGGGTCACTATGCGTCTGAACAGAATTAGCAAGCATTTATACTTATTGTGTGTCACATGCTACATTAAGAATTTTACTTGATTTACCTGAATCCTCAAGAACCCTGGTAGCGTAGTGGGTAATAAGTAAGATTGCTAACTGCAAGATCAGCAGTTCGGATCTACCAGCTGCTCCATGGGAGAGAGATGAGGTTTTTTGATTCTGTAAATTACAGCCTCAAAAACCCTATTCAGGGCCTGTCCAAATTGGAACCGACTGAATGGCACACACCACCATCAATGCCACCACTTTAATCCTGACTAGAATTCTAACTACTAGAAAAGTTATTATCCTCATCTGTAAAATGAGGAAACTGAAGCTTTAAAAACCTAAGTAGTTTGCCAAGATGACAGGGTTAATAAATGA